GCCCAACGGGTTCCTCGAGAGTGCAGCACCCAAGATCTTCGGCCACGAAGATGGCGACCCCAGCTGACGAGCCTATATCCCCTAAACCATTCGTCGAGGGGGAAAAAGCGGCAGTGGCAACCGACGGGGCCCAAAAACTCTTCCAGCCGTGCCTAGAGGCCAAGTCGGAGGCCTCGGCAATGCTTAAATCAGAGACAAGGTGCACCTCCTGAGCGAACAAAACTTTGGTGGGTCCCCACGCAAGCTCGAGGAGGCGCTTCTTGATGGAGCCCCAAGAGGACCCATTGAAAGTCTCAAAACGGGTGCACTGAGGAGAGGAGGGAGGAGAAGAAAAGTTGGCCTTCCCAGCGCTGGCACACGCTGGTGAGGCCGTCAGCTCAAATGACTGGCAGTCACGACTCTCCGTCGAAGCTGTCGTCGCTGTCGGCGCGCTGCCGTTACCCGTACGGGCGGTGGCCCCGACGGCTGCCAGTCCCCTTGCTCGATGGTGCGCCCAGCTGCCGCGCGGCCGCGGCCTGCTGGTCCTGGTATGCAGCTCTGGCCTTCTGGATGGCTTCGAGCTCCTTCTTCGGCACGTGCTTGGCAAGGGACTCCATCTCAGCTTTGAAGAACTCGGAGTCGAAAATCGGTGTGTCCGTGGTCGATGGCGCTGGTGAGGGCGGTGGCGCCGCCTTCTCGGGCAATGCCCCCACCATGCTGGCCATGTCATTGATGAATTGGAGGATGTCTGCATTGTCTGCGAACTTCTTCTTGGCCTCCTCGATCTTGGCCTTGGACGTCTTGGTGAACTCAGCGAGCGATTCAGGAACCTCGTCTGGTGCCGTGTCCGCCCAGACAGACTTGGCGTCCTGCTCCTCGCGCTGCTGGTCGTCCATGGCCTGCTCGAGACGTTTCTTCTGCTCGTCCATGGACTGGATGTTGGCGTCGAGCTGCTGCTGCAGCTCCTGCTGGGTCTTCTCCAGCTCTGAGATCTGGTTCTTGATCTTCTCGACCTTTTCGGCGGCTCGCTGCACACGTGTGTGGCAGCGCGCCACGCGCTGCGCTGGCGGCAGGCTAGCAGCCTGCGCAGCGCGCGCCTCCACCAGGTCGGCTCTGGCCTGCTGCAGCTTGGCGGCCACGTCGGGCATGACGCTGGCGTCCAGCTGCTGGTAGGTGCTGACGAGAAGCTCGAGTTGCTCGATCTTCTTGTCCCTGTCGTTGGTGTCGGCCACCTCGGGCGCGGGCGCGGCTGCGTCCTTGCCCTTGCCCGTGCCACGCGAGCCCTTCCCGCGGCCAGGCGCGGCGCCTGCGGGAGGGCTGCCAGCTGCTGGCGGCATGGGGGCGCCAGCGGCCGCTGCGAGGGTGGAGACGCGCTTGGCGATGGCGTCGAGCTGCTGCTTGGAGAGCCCAGCAGCACCACCTGCGCTGCCCGCGCCCTTGCCGCCGCCTGCGTTCTTGCCAACGCCCTTGCGGCGACTGGCTCCACGCTGCGGCTGATCACCCTTGTTGTAGTAAAGCCCGCAAATGTGACACCACAGCTTGCCGCTAGCCAAAGGAGTCCAAGAGCGCGGGCCACACTTCTTACACTGAACCCATGCAGCTGGCCCTGCGGCCTTCGCCATTGCTGAGGACGTGCCGTGCTGGCCAACTGCTTTTGAGCGAGAATGATGAGTACGTGCAGGCACCGTCCGGTGCTCGAACAAAGACTCACAGGCTGACCCCAGGGACGCGGGCTGGGCCAGACCTGGAGCGCGCGTTGGCCCTGCGCCACCTCGAGAGATGGCAACTTGAGCCAAAATGGCTTGAGCCAAGATGGCTTGAGCCAAAATGGCTACGGTAGCAGCATGCATGTCAGCACTCGCGAGTGCACGGGTTTGAACGTCCAGGGTGGCACATTTTTGTTTGTGCCCCGGGCCCTGTGGGAAGCTCTCGGCGGGGCGCAACCGTCGAAAGGGCCCGCACGGGCGTCCCCTGGACAGCACTGGCGAGGCGCGGCTGATGTGACGCCAAATCCGTGCCACCATAGGTGCACGGGTCCATCTGAGCATTTTGGGGGTACCGGTCCATCCGTGCATCTTGGGGTGTACCGGTCCATCCGTGCGCCAAGACGAAGGTAGCAGAAAAACTTGAAAGCTCGTGATGCTGTGCTCGCCCCATCTGCTGAGGAACGTATGGCTGAATTCGTCGTCTCTCACCCTCCCCTATATTTTCAATTGTTGTTGTTATTTAGTTGTGTTGTCCTGCGCCCCAGGGCAGCCCCCTCACAAGCTCCCCTGGCGTGCGCGGTTTGGGCACGCGCTATTCTGCATGCGCCACCGCGCGCCCCGGCCCCCTTGCAGGCCTGAGGCCGCCGCAGGCTTGCCCCCCTTGCGGGCTCACCTGCGACGCTATGCCGGGCGCGCTCCTGGGCACCGCCTTGATGGCCGTTTCCAGGACGCAGCGCCGGATGCACCCCAGGGCAGCCCCCTTGCAGGCTTTCCTGGGGCGCGTAGCCCGCGGCCCCTTGCAGGCCTGAGGCCGCCGCAGGCTTGCCCCCCTTGCGGGCCCCCCTGCGACGCTATGCCGGGCGCGCGCCCGGGCACCGCCTTGATGGCAGTTTCCAGGACGCACGCCGGATGCACCCCAGGGCAGCCCCCTTGCAGGCTTTCCTGGGGCGCGCGCCCCGGCCCCCTAGCAGGCCTGAGGCCGCCGCAGGTTTGCCCCCCTTGCGGGCTCCCCTGCGACGATGAGCCGGGCGCGCGCCTGGGCACCGCCTTGATGGCAGCTTCCAGGACGCGGCGCCGAGTTGGATGCCTCGGAGCTGTTACTCCGCGGATGTTGCGCTCCACGGGCTTTGAAGGGGGGGAAATTCGTTACGTTTCCTCCCCCTTCGAACGTCGAGTGCCCGAAGCGCACACATGCTATTTAGGCGTGCCGGCCCATCCGCTATCGATGCGGTGCTCCGTGCATGTGCTCGGTCCCGAGACAACCGCTCACCGCTACAGCGTGCCACACTGCATAGCTTGAATTAGGCATGTGGGCTCGACACTCTTGCATTCAAATATTTCTCTCAACGTATTTCCCCCAATATGCAAGACCATTGCCGCATCGAGGCCGAGCATGGAGCAAGACGAAGGAGGAGGAGAGGGGGAAGGAGGGAAGGGTTTATTTTTTTGTGTTTTTTTTTTTGTTTTTTTTGCACCCAGGGTGGCCCCCTTGCAGGCTTTCCTGGGACACGCGCCCCGGCCCCCTTGCAGGCCTGAGGCCGCCGCAGGTTTGCCCCCCTTGCGGGCTCCCTTGCGACGCTATGCCGGGCGCGCACCGGGGCACCGCCTTGATGGCAGTTTCCAGGATGCTGCGCCCCAGGGCAGCCCCCATGCAGGCTTTCCTGGGGCGCGCGCCCCGGCCCCCTAGCAGGCCTGAGACCGCCGCAGGTTTGCCCCCCTTGCGGGCTCCCCTGCGACGTTAAGCCGGGCGCGCGCCCGGGCACCGCCTTGATGGCAGCTTCCAGGACGCGGCGCCGCGCCGGATGCCTCGGAGCCGATGCGCAGCTACGTTTCCTCCCCCCTCGAACGCGGGGGGAAGAGGGGGATGAGGGGGGGGGATGAGGATGAGGAGGGGGAGGAGGATGAGGGGGGGGACGGAGGGGAGGAGGAGGATGAGGGGGGGAAGGAGGGGAGGTTTGATTTTGATTTTTTTAAAAAAATATATACCCAGGGCAGCCTCCTTGCGGGCTTTCCTGGGACACGCGCACGCCGTCATGCACTTTGGTGCTAGCGCGAACGCGCGTTCTGGCCCCTTTGCAGGCCTAGGGCCGTCGCAGATTCGCCCTCCTCGCGGGCTCCCCATGCGACGCAGCTGGCAGCCCCCCAGCAGGCTGCCCGGCAACGTTGCGTCACCACCTGAGGACACGTCGCCGAGTCGCCGCGGATGCACCACAGACGCCGCCCCCTTGCAGGCGGCGCCTGCCGTACTCGGCGCGCGCGGCGGCTGTCTTTTCCTTCATTCACAACCAATCTCTTGCGGGCGCCTCGTCTTCCGGCCCCGCTGCCGCCGCCTCGGGGCGGCAACGGACGCATCGATCGCACAGGCGGCCGCGCTCAGGCCAATCTGAGCCCAGAGGCACGCACTGAGCCAGCGGGACCGCGTTGCAGGCCAGCTGGCTTGGCTTGTCGAGGGACATGACGTGGAAGCGGTAGTCGCTATTGGGATAGATTTCCGCCTTCGCGCTCACCCAAAAGCACAACTCGGTCACGTCGTAATCGGACTCCATCTCCACGTCAACATCCATGGGGTGCGAGTCCTTTGCCGTGGTTTGTGCTGCCGTGGCCGCGTCTGCACCCCCGACGTTGCCATCCACGCCGCCCTCGCTCTGCGCCACCGAGGTGCCCCCGCCATCTGCGACTGGAGCTGCATTCAGGCTTGCCTGGACCAACTTGCCCGCCTCATCGGCGAGCTCGGCGCTCCAGTTCTGGCGCATGGTGCGCGCCATGCCGGATATGAAGTTCACGGGGATCTGCTTGCGATCCCGTATATATTTGGCAGGCATCCTCGAGTCCCGCCAATTCCCTTGCAGCTGTAGCGTCGTGATCTCCGCCCCGGCATGGGCCATAAGCGAGATCGCCGTAACCCGCGGAGAGTGCGCTGTGGCCACGTCGGTTTGCGCTTGCACCTCGCGAACCAACTCGGCCGTAAGCCCCAAGGGATTGTCCGCCACGGCCTGGGCCGCGAGCTCCCGCAGCATGCGCACGAACCTCTTGCCAGTGAGCGGCATGTCGAACTGCATGTCGTCCAGCGTGCCGTCGACCAGCCAGAAATCCGACTGCAGCGCGTCCGCGGACAATATCGACCTGTAGAGCTGCAGCCCTTCGGTGACCCAATCTACGTCCGTGAGCGTGGCCTTGCATACTGCGAACTTCGTGCCGCGCCTCTTGCGCTCGACCTTGGTCTGCCACGCCACGAACCGCACTGCGTCGCCGACGTCCGTGATGCTATCGGGACGCACATGCAGGGCGTCATCGAAACGCATGCTGCCCCACGTCATGCAGAGCACCTGCCACGCCCGCGCCGCCCTCACATGGAGACCGGCGGTCTTCCACGCGGCCACGCTCAGCTCCAGAGTTCGCAGGAGCTGGATGTGAAGAGGGGTCGCTTCCTTGAGCTCCTTGCTGACCCTGTCGCAAACGCCGTCCTCAATCGCCAGGAGAGCTGGCATGTCCGCCTCGGGGACACGCATCCCGATGCGCTTGCCCACCCACGCCACCGTAGCTCGAAATGCCGGCAATACAGATGGGCCGCACCGCTGGCTCCTGTCTGCGGCGTAGGCGACCAGCACAGCTTCGCTCGGCGGGTACACGCTCGCCTTGCTCGCGGCCCAGCGCTCGAACCGCTCCCAGTCGAGCACGTGCCCCCGAAGAGTCGACCACGCTCCACGTGCGAGCACTGAATACAACAGATCGTGAAGGTTCATGCCCGTCATGTCCGCGACTGGCCGCAGGTCGACAAGAACAGACGCCGCTGCCCCAGCCCTGTCCACGATGGCCGCGAGGCGCTTGACCCAGCGCTGCTTTGCATCGGCTTCTGCCATCCGCAAAGACGGCACGCCATTCTCATCTCTTGGCGCCCCCGGCCCGCGTCGCGTACTGCAGGGCGTTCTGGATCTCGCCTGGCCGCTCCTCTTGATCGGGGCCACTTGGGGCAGCTGGCGTTTGTCCAAACGGCGCCCCACATGTAATGTCTCCCGCAGCTCTTTCTCGTTGTCTATCGCTGCTCGTGGGGCCATCGCGCAGACAACAGCGAACAGATAATCCAATCGTTCGGCATGAGCCGCAATCAGGGCTGGCCATCCGCCGTCAGGATTTGGCTTCCCATGAGATAAGGAAACCAAGCCCTTGCGGAACGCGTCGGGCTCGAACTCGCTGATGGCCAACACCATGTCGACGGAATCTACGCCCAACTGTTCCAGCAGCTGCTGAAAGGCCTCGCCGCCCTGCACGACGTGCAAAACACGCAGCCACGAACTCTCCATGGCTGACGATCTGCGGTCGGTGCTGGGCGCGCGCGGCCTGTTTGGAGCTCTTGAGCCCAAAATGGCAATTGTCGCGCGCGCCCTCCCGAGTATTGGCCCGCTGGGTCCTTCCCACCAACCGATACCCAGCCACCTGGTCCTCCTGGTCCTCCTGGTCCTCCTCCTCCTCCTCCTCCTCCTCCTCCTCCTCCCCTCCTCCTCCTCCTCCTCCCCCTCCTCCTCCTCCCTCCACCTCCTCCTCCCTCCTCCTCCTCCCTCCTCCTCCTCCTCCTCCTCCTTCCTACCTCCACCTCCTCCTCCTCCTCCTCCTGGTCCCCTCCTCCTACCTTCCTCCTCTGGTCCTCCCTCCCTCCTACTCCTCCTCCTCCTCCTCCCTCCTCCTCCTCTCCTCCCCCCTCCCTCCCTCCCATCCCTCCCTCCCTCCCTCCCTCCCTCCCACCCTCCCCTCCCTCCCTCCATCCCTCCCCCCCCTCCTCCACGCTCCTCCCTCCTCCTCCTCCTCCTCCTCCTCCTCTCCTCCTACTCTCCTTCCCTCCTCCTCCTCTCCTCTTCCCCTCCTTCCCTCCTCCTTCGTCCTCCTCCTCCTCCTCCTCCACCTCCTCCTCCTCCTCCTCCGCCTCCGCCTCCGCCTCCTCCTCTCCTCTCCTCTCTCTCCACTCCTCATCCTCTCCTCTTCCTCCAACTCTCCCTCGCTCCCTCCCATCCCTCCCTCATTCCTCCACCTCCTCCTCCTCCTCATCTCCCATCCTCCTCCCTCCCTCTAGCTCCTCAACCTCCTCCTCCTCCTCCTCCCTCCCTCCTCCTCATCATCATCATCATCATCATCAGCATCAACATCCCAACATCATCATCATCATCAGCATCAACAGCAACATCAGCCGCACCTTCATCACCATCATCAATCACCATCATCATCAATCATCACATCATCAACAGCATCAGCATCCTCATCAACCATCATCATCAACAGCATCATCAGCATCATCAGCATCACCAGCATCATCAGCATCGTCCATCTCCATCACTTGTCGCACCCCAAGGCGCGTCGGTAGGGCGGGTCGGGCGTGTCGGCTGAGACGTCCTCACCACTTATGACGCCGAAGCTTGACGTGTGCAACAGCTTCACGGATGGAAAGGGGGGGGCTTTTCAAAATGTGGCTCTCGCCGTCGCGCTGCGCGCATTCGTTTTGAAAGGTTGCAGCAGTATCGGGCAGGGAAGGTGACTCCTTTATATATATATATAAAAATATATACATATATATATATATATAGATATAACAAAAACGTGGTTCTCGCCTCAGCGCCGCGCGCAACAGCTCCACGGATGGAGCACCGATCGTCGTCGAAGTGTGGCAGCCGCCTGGGTGCCGCGTGCATGCGTCCCGCCAGTCTGCAAGTGTTTCACTGATGGAAGGGGGTGGCTTTCAGAGTATGGTTCTCACCTGCAACTACCCGCATCAGCATCATCATCATCATCATCATCATCATC